TGGTTACGTCGGTTTCAAGTCGAAGTATCTCCACGAAGGGCAAACATAGAAGCATGCGATTTGCACTAAAATTATGATTAGAATTGCGAATTTACTCACACTGGACAATATCCTTAGTAGTGCGTAGTTTTTTGCTGTGAGGGACTGTAAACCAGTTCTCGCTGTGATACGGCTACGAGGTGTGATTTTAAAAATTCCGAAACTGAATTTTTTTTTTTACCCTGTGGTGACTCCTTAGGACTAGTGATGGCTATATCCTTCAAAGTAGTCCTCTTCGGCATCTGCACAATTTATCATTCATCAAATAAATTGCTCCACATTCCATCATGCATTTGACCAGGAAAATCGGCACGTCGAACACGTTTCCACTCGCAAAAGCCATCACTGGACCTCTGTTTCCTTTTCCCGAAACGCGACTGCTCCGCTCGACCGAGTCAGTAGTTGCACAGATCGCACAGCGAAGCCCTTCGAAAGTAACAAAAAACGCGAAAAATAAAATTGAGAAAGGCGTGTCACGTCAACGCACAAGACGGTGCAGGAGTAGAAAGCGTCGGCGTGGAATCCACCAGCTCTTCGATCCGGAATTGAAGGAGGACGACCAGATAGGTCACGATCGTGCCCAACGCCTACGAGACAAAATACCAATAAATGTTGGCGTTACCATAATCACGTAATTGAAACGGTATAGGTCGAGTCGGAAGAAACTAAAAAACGCCACGCGTTCGGTAACCCAGAGCCCTTACCCCTGTGAGGGCTCCCTTGTCGAGTACGAAGTAATCAGAGGCGGTGAGCCGGATGGGATTCGCCAGCACTTGCATCTCGATCCGGTGCACCTGGCGAACAAGCATGGTTGCCGGAAAAAATTTCGGGGACGGTGGCTTGGCATCACTGCACTGACCTGTCGAGCGAGAGCGGGGGGGAGGTCGATCCCGGAGACGAGAGAAATTTCCTTCATCGCTTTCTCGTTCTGCACGAGGAACGATAAATCGGCTGATGGAATCCCTTTTTACTTCCCGCCAGTATAGGCAGAATTGAAAGTCACTTGATTTCGGAAAACGTCTTTCGGAATACAACGGAAGGAAAATTAATTATGGGAGGATAAACTAAGGTGGATGTAGAATTTTTAGAGACCGTATTTTACGGAAATAAATATTTTTATCCTTGGCCGAGACTACGATCGGGTCGTAGATGCCATAAAAGCTGCCCGTTCCGTGATGATTCCTTTCCCATATATTACCTCTATATTACCCCATATATTACCCCGCCCCCCCATTCCAAAAAATTTTATAAAAAACTTATCTATTTTCCTGTAAGGAGATAATGAGAAGAAATTGGCCAAGTTCAACTTTGGCCAAATTACTGGAAAAAAACTACCTCTTTTATTATCGGGGAATTGCGATTTCCTCACATCGGTGACGACGCGAACAACTGTCAACATTCTAGAAAAAAATTGACCTCAAGGCGCATGCGTAACGCTTTTTCGGAGTTAGGGTGTCACGTCACGAGATACCAGTTCCCCTCCAGCCTTTGTAACAGAAGGATCCATTACTCACAAACGAAACGAGGCAGAGCATGCCAGTGTGGACAGGGTTGTCAGCTGAACGTGCAATGCCATATCTTACAGCACTGTACGTTCTACTCTCATTCTATCTCTCAACCTAACTACTGCATCCTCGCGTTCGCTACACCTGCAGTCATTGAATGGAGGCCTTCTACTTTGAGCTCTTTCACACAATTGGAATGGGAGAATGGTCGAAACTCGCCCTGGCCGCGATCCCGGCGCTGGCCCTCGCGATCAGAAGGAAGAGCAGCACGGACATCCCCGCCGTCCCGATCTCGAGCAGCGCCTTCAAACGCCTCCCGTCGAAGACAGAATCCACCGCCAGGTACAGATTCACAGTGATGAAGACGATACCGTACGCGAATCGGAGGAGGAGGGTCGGGTGAAACACGTCGCACAGGTCCGAGGCGGCGTCGCGGATCTCCAGGTACATCCGCCGGCGAGTCTCCGCCAAGCGCTCGACATCCTGTTTGGGAAGGGCTTGCGACTCCGGTTCGGGGAAGACTTCCACGTTCTGTTCGGTGGAGGCTTGCTCCTCCTTGTCCGTTCCCGGGAGTTTAGGATCCGTGGCGGCGGGGCGGATTTTCGATTCGTACGATTTTTGCAGCAGGTCTCTCAACTCGGACAGATTTCTTGCGGAGAATCCTTCTACAACCTGCGGGGAAACAGAGAAGATTCTTACCGTTAAATATTCTTCCCACATAAGCGTAATAGTGAATATTTTATCCACATATGAGTCTATGAGGTTGTTCCGAAATAAATGTCCAATTTTCGAAGTGTAATGTTTTGTCTATCATTATACCTGTCAATTTTGCGATAACCAGTTATTGTTATATACCGTTTTTTTCAGCAAACCTTTCTCTATGTAAGCCACTTAGTTGCTTTTTATTTATCTTTAGCCTAACGTTCCTGTAGCTGCCAAAGCGAACGATGGAGAAACGCAACTTTCGTCCGATTTTTCTTTACGAGTTCAAACTTGGAACTAATGCTGCCGAAACGGCGAATAAAATCAACACTGCGTTCGGCCAAGGATCGGTCACGGATCGCACCATTCGACGCTGGTTCGAAAAGTTTCGTAACGGAGATGAGACTCTCGAAGAACAGGAAGGTAGAGGTCGGAAAGAGTCTCTTGACGACGCCGTTCTGAAGACTATGGTGGAACGTGATCCCCATGTAACGGTCCGAGAGCTTGCGGAAGAATTGTCTGTTGGCATCGCAACCGTTTCCCGTCATCTGAACGACATTGGAAAGACGAAGAAGATGGACAAATGGGTTCCGCACGAACTCACCGCGAGTAATCGCACTCGCCGATACGAGATCAGCTCCGCATTGCTTCTACGCAACACAAACGACCCTTTTCTCGACCGTATTGTTACGTGCGACGAAAAGTGGCTCCTGTACGACAATCGTAAACGATCGGCGCAGTGGCTGGACCGAGATGAGCCTCCCAAGCACTTCCCAAAGCCAAGCGCTCACCCGAAGAAGACTATGGTCACTGTATGGTGGACTTCAACAGGAGTGGTGCACTACCACTTTCTGAAACCTGGTGAAACAATCACAGCGGAGAAGTACTGTGACGAACTGGACACGATGCACGAGAAACTTCGCAAACTTCAGCCTGCATTGGTCAACCGAAGGGGGCCGATTCTGCTGCACGACAACGCCCGACCGCATGTCGCACATCTCACCGTACGCAAACTGAATCAGCTGGGCTACGAAACTCTGCCTCATCCACCATACTCCCCAGACATATCACCTACGGATTACCACTTTTTCAAACACCTGGATCACTTCGTCGAGGAGAAACACTTCCATGATCAGACCTCTGCCGAAGATGCCTTTAAGGATTTCATCGCCTCCAGAACCCAGGATTCCTACTCGACTGGGATCAACAAGCTTGTATCTCGTTGGCAGAAGTGTGTTGAAGCGGATGGTGCTTAATTCGATTAAAAATGTTCATTATCAGCTGAGTTACGACCCTTCAAAGTTTGCGATCGAATTCGGACATTTATTTTGGAACAGCCTAATAGAAAAAGTCCAAGGATTAAATGGTACGATGTTACATCAGAAGATATTTGATTTATATTAAGGTCGGCTGAAAACGAAGAGAGACCAGATTTCCCTTTCAACCTGGATTTCACAGTCTCTAACCCTTTCACGCATGGTGTCCATTATCGTGGACGGCAACATTTTCGGCGATGATGATGGTTTCTTAGCCATGGTACTCATACCTCGAAACTTTTGGTGTATGCAGTCAACTCAGGGGCACATAATCTCTTCAGTGGTGCTTTCTAGCGGTGAAACATGCGGCTACGATGACAAGAGTACCTCCTTAAACGTTGAAGCGAGAAAGGAAATTTTTTATTTTGCTCGGAAAATTCATACGTGAAAGGGCTAAAAAGATGTATGTTTGGGGAATGACCCCCACTCTTTCTTTCCGGTTCTTAGCCATGATGAGTTAAAGGTCAGCAGTTTCCTATCGCCCCAAGGTCACGATAACAAGTACTTTTCTCACGTTTTCCTGTTTCCCGAGCAAAAATTAATATGCATACAAACCTTGCAAAGGTAGACGAACATGAGGTCAGGAGTAACAGGAGCGGAGAAAATGATTGCCGATCTCAACCCGAAGATGAACCTGAGGAACCGGGAACAGCTCGGTCCACACCAGAACACGACCGACTGGGATTCATCCAGAATATCCAGGACGCAGAGAGCAACGATGAGTATATAGACCGTGGGGAGACAGTAGCCGTACCGTCTCAGGTGGAGCCGATCCTCTTCCGCCAGGTGGATCCTCGTCTCCAAGTCCCGGAACCGACGCAGAAGCTTCGGGAACTGCTTTGCCTTCAGCAAGGCGATACAGTAAGTAGTTAAGATGATGAAAACCGTCTGGACGAGGAGAACCTGACTCGCAATGCTTTCTGCCACGCCATCCTGCACCATCAGATCACGGATGTCCTCTGCGAACTCCAGTCCCGTTGACGGAAGGTGAACACTTCCGTTCAGGGCCAGGGAGTCGAGATCGAAAAATCGATCCGCGAGCCCCACGACGACCGAGGGGAACAAAAACGCGGAGGGAAGGAGCAAAAGGCTGTAGAAGAGGGCGAGGCTGCACCATCGGAATCGTATACGTCCTTCCTCGATGCTCCGAACGAATTGGAGCGGAAAAACACCCAAGACCTTCCCGCACAGGGCGAGCAACTTGAAACTGTTCAAGACGGTTCTTTCTTCCATCCGAAACTCCGGTTTGATTCAATTTCCGGCCGTTAGCTGGTCTTCGAAGAAGTGGGAGGCTTTATCTTATCCCTGATTGAGTGCTCGGTCCACAAAAAGAGGCGGGCAAGTCACACAGACGGTTATGGACAACAAATAAAACTCTTTTAAACTAAGCGCCATTCCATTAGCACTTCCAGGCATTTGCAAATGACTCGTATACCTTCCAGGACGTTTTTCTTTTATTTCCATGACTGAAACACAAAAACAGGGAAGGGATTTCTAGGGGGAAAAAAGAGCATAAGATGAACTGCTGAGAACTCAGGGATATTATCAACGGCAAAAGGGATTCACCCAAAGTTGCCAAAAATGAATTTAAAATTCCACGGATTTTTCTACTATTCTCTTCTCCAACAGGCGCTGAAGTTTTCTAGCAGAGCGAAACATCACAGATAAAAAAATAATAAACGGAATCTTTGATCCTGAAATCCATGTGGCCTGATGATTAAAAAAAACCAAGTCCTATCCATGAGCTGAAAAACAAGGAGTCAAATCATCTCGAAAAGACTGGAGAGGTTGCAGCTTCTCCTTAGAGACTCTGATGACTGAAAGCATACGTATTTACAGTTGACATCTGACTTGGTCTCTTCCCATCCTGGAAAAAAGGGTTGTGTCTGAAAAATCTACAGCACCTATGGGTTTTCACTGGTGCAGCAGAAGGAAGAACCTGAAAGCAGGCATTGGTTCAATAAATATCAAGCCCAGGACAGGAAGAGAGGACGAGCGAACGGGATCAAATACATATCAGGTCATAACGGTGCTGCGGTTGAGAAGGAAGGAGATACGGTAGGCCTATATCACGGATCGCACCCATTCATTTTATGTCCACTATGCTGCATCGCTGTACAGTATTTCCTGAAAAACTCGCACACAAACGGGGCAGACCCGACTGCTTCTCTCCATCTTGTTCTATGGCTTCCCTCGTCCTCTGACTCCCCCGGCTTCCTTTTATTTGTACACCATCTACTGTCGGTGAGAGGAAAGGGAAGATCCACAAAGGAAGAGGGATTGAGCTTGGAGCCCTCCAGGTATAGGCAGAGGCAGAGGAGATGGAAAAGACACAGGAAGGGATGAAGAACAGAGACAGGAGATGTAGCTGCTTGGAGCGATGCTCTTCTTTCAGAGGCCACGTCATACATAGACCTTTGCCAGTCCATCTGCACCCGCACTCGCTATGAACGGCTTTGAGGGATGGAAGGCCACAGCAAAGATACTTTCGTCGAACTTCTTGCGGTGAGAGTGCATCTCTTGCACGCAAGTCTTATCATCCAAGTTCCACAGACGAATGCTGCAGTCATGGCCTGAAGGATGGACATTCCAACATGTTCTTGTAATGCTTCAATGAAAGTGAATATCACAGAAGAAACAAGTAGAAAAACTCACTTCCAGATACGAGATAGAGACCATTGGGGTCGAGGGCGAGGGAGGTGACGGCATCCAGGTGGGCTGCCATCTCGTATAGGAGACCCCCATTGGAAGTGTCCCAGAAGCGGATATGTCTGTCTTCATGCCCAGTGATGCACAGTGGAAGCGTTGGGTGGCACACCACACTGTTGATGGTTGATGGCTCCTTTCCTGATTCCTGGATCATAGAAATGCATTAACTTTAGCTATGCATTCCATCCAATCATTTCCTGCCTATTGCCTTCTACTAGTAGAAAAAGCAATCTGCATAAGATACAGAAAAAGTATTTTGCTTTTGAATGACTTCTAACAATGTCCATCTTCAAGTATGCAAGAGTTATACCTGCTGTGATGTATCCATGTGAACAACAGGTTTCCCACACTCCAAGTCATAGACAGCACATGTACCAGAACGAAATCCCACAACCATGTGATTAGGTGCCACTTCTGTTCGAAGGAAGTCCACTGATGTTGGGATTCCATCTGCAAAAATTGGAAATAAATGGGATGATCCTACAATTTCCTATGTCACTGGATGACTAATGAAGAATATGATCAATTCATAAGAAAGTGGGTACCTTGTTCACTGGAAATGCTTGAGAGGAGAGGTTGTTTGGCAGTCGGCTGCCAGAGTCGAACAGACCCATCTGCAGAACAGGATAGAAGGTGTGGTCTATTTGGGTGGACTGCCAATGCCCACACTGCATCACCATGGCCTGGATAGGAATGTATCCAACATTAAACCTGAAGTACATTTTCTGCAAAGGAGGCCTTCTGGAACCTTCAGTTTTTCCAGAATAATAAACTGATTGAATCCTGGGGGAAATCAAACCTGTGAGGGTGGTGGCTAAGACATCAGGATCAAAGCTGTCATAGGGGTCAATGGATGTGTTGGGTATCTTCCAGCACCTAATGGAAGCATCTAATCCTCCACTAAAACACATCTCTCCACTGGGGTTCACACAGAGGCAGAGAACAGGACCATGATGCCCTCGGAACGTGTATACGGGTTCCACATCCAGGGATGCAGATCTGCAATATATAATAGTGTACTTTCTTGGTTGACCAAAATTCTAATGCTGTGACTATGATGCTTACTTCTTGGTGGGAACAGTCTTCTGGAGATTCCACAGCTTCAGGGTGTGATCTTCAGAGGCTGTGATGAGAGCCTGCTCCACAGGCAAGAATCCAAGTGCTCTCACCCCATCAAAGTGACTTCTTAAAGTGTATTTCCCTGTCCATGTTTTCCTGAATGCTTCTTTTGAATTTGCTATTTGCTGCAGAAAAATCAATGTCCTTGAACATTATCTCCTGGATGCATAAAGCTTCCAATAACTTTTAATATCATAAGTGAACTCATGAACTCAATTTATATATGCATTCACATGAGAAATATTAAGTTGACCAAAGCAAAAGAAACACTGAATTGACCCTACTTCCAAAATTTGCTATTTCTTCCTTTTCCTTATACCATCCTTTGTGTCATTAACTGAACTCACATCATACGTAGACTCAGCTTCATTGTTGACTGTGAGCTGGGCAAGCTCTCCAAGTCCAAGCTCTGAGTCCAGTGCTTCATCTACAGGGCCCATGAGATTCCTACGAGCAGCACTTGAAGCTCCCAGCCCTACAATACTTCTACTACCTGCAAATATCACACATTGCAGTGTCAACTCCAAATGTCATCTGAACCTTAGCCTGATTCAAAATTGTGCCTCCACTGAGGGAAGGCTGAATACATGCAACAGGAGAGCATTGCATGCATCAGGCAAAGTGAACACCAAACAATGAAAGACCATTCATAAAGATATAAAGAGACAACATCATGCATGAGAATAGACCTACCCCCTTCCGAGGAGGACACATCAAACCCGCCTCGATCGTCGTCGTCTTCCTCATCCTCCAAGGACCCGCCATCCCTCATCCCATCCCCTGATTCACTAAGATTGACCAGCATTGCCTGCAGGTCCGAGCGGCTTGGTCCTACATGTCCCCCCAAGATACAGAAGCATGCATGCGACACAAGCCCAGACTCACAAACCAACACAATAAAATTAAAAGCAACAACTACTTAATTATACATGCAAACAACATGTGCTTTTTGTGTTCAAGTCCACAACTAGGTTCTCCTTTGGCCAAATAATTATGATGATACAACCAAAAGACATTACTGGACATCTATGGCTTTAAAAGAAAGATGGGCATATCACATGACCATATTGGATTTTTTCAAGGATTTACCATTTGCATCATTATGCATGAGGAGTTGACATGATAGCATCAAACTATCCTGATACAATGAATATAATTCCCAAGTGTGGAAGATCCAGTCTACTGAGCATTGAATCTGTGTTATGATTGAAAGGTGAGCTCAACTTTCAGTCTTCAATCCATGTCATTTTTCATCATAGAAATTATAAGTGCGCATTTCAAGACTCACTCTGCTGTGCAAAGGGGCCTTTGCGATTCTTCTGTCGATCCTTGCGATATTCATCCTTGAGTTTGTTGAGGAGGGCATGCGGAACACCCCATTCTGAGTCACATCAAGCAACCAAGGAGGAATAATGACATTCCATTCCAATCCATGCAAAATCAAATATCAAGCCAAAGGAATTTCACTATGCAGCCCATTCGCTCATTCTTGGCATGACTGATGTCAATGTGAATAAAACTCCTGCAAAATTCGCTTCAATAAGATTGATTGATGTATGATTTGGAAGCATGAAAATAACAGTTTGAGGACAGAGAAATGTAGGAAAGTAAAGGACATAATTATAAGCCAGACAATAAATTAACCAGGACTTTTAAGCAGGATTAAAATGAATGGAAATAAATTGACAGCAACAGAGATGATAAATTGGGGGGGCAGGGGGAGGAAGATGGAGGGTATGTTCAGAAATGAAATCAAAACACAAGCAGCAAAGAAGAGACCAAGCTAAAAATCCAAAAGAGCAACAACAAAAAAACACAGCAAAGCAGTGAAAGACAGCAACAACAAAAAAATTATATGAGCAAGAGAGGAGAAAGTAGGAAAGGCTCAAGATGTTAAGAGATGGGCAAAATTGCTAAAAACTTATAGCAAAGAATACTGTCTCAATAAAGAATAAGTCCTATTTAGGTAGGATAAGAGGAATGGAACACAATGAAGCTAGATAAGTACATGTAAATAGCTGTTCATTTCCTGGAGAATATCCAGTTTCACTTCAATTTGAAAATTTTGAGGTATTCCAGCTTGCCTGGGAAAATTTTCATGGTACTTGGAAAAATACAATTAATACAATTTCAGGGATATTTTTCTTCTGTTGATTCATATACAATAGTTCATCCAGAATGAGCAAAAGGACTGTGGATTCTATATTTTCTTAAGTATAAGCCACATCTTTTCTATTAGTTATTTTAAAGGTAGAGCAGGTGAAGGCAATACACCATGAAAGAATCACCAATAAAACAAGTAAGCCATTTAGTTATGGTTCTGGTAGAAAACATTAAATATCTGGCTCACTGAAACTCATAGTCAGTGTCATTCACTTCCATATAGGATGACTCATTGCCTGAGATAATTTCTAGCTAAGACAACTCCTTTGCTTCCTGTAATGCTTAGTTTCCTCCTTGCCTTATAAGGTAACTACAATATGCACATTCCCATTTTCATAGAGAAAGATGAGAACAGCTGACTTGCATCCAACAAGAATCCAAGGTACAAGTGGAGATGGGTTTACCACTTTAAAGAAAATGCATCATACATGAAGAATTGGAAAAGAAAAGGTATTGATTGGAAACTTGAGAGGGTAAGTCAAGTGTGTGGCTTACACTTGAGAAAATACAGTAGACATTAGGAAACTGAGGGAACAAAAGGAATGCAGGCCATGCATGGTCAACTTGGCATCAACATCTATACATCCTGATCAACCAGAGAGATATGCAGTAATTGAATTTAAATTCAATTAAATTCAAGAAATGTCCCTCATTGAAAGTTAAATAATTTTCTTACATGTTTGCAATGAATGCAATTGACAAGCAACATTTGTGAGCAGACAAGCCTCCAAGCATAATGCTTTTTGATGTTTTGTAAAATGTGATCTCCAAAAATGAATGCTTTTATTTATTACTTAGTTTGTTGTCCACAGTCAGAAAAATGTAACAAGGTGATAAACATACCCTAAAATAGGAAGAAATAAAGCTCTCTCATGATACACTCTGTCCCTGACCTGGATTCAGCAATTTCGCTCAGCTCATCTTCTTTCATTTACTGATCTTTCACATCAACCAGCAGAGTGGTACATTAGACCAACAACACCTGTACACTTCTTGATTCCTTCTCTTGTAGGATGTCCACCAGGAGAAAAGAGCGCAAGATAGAAGAAAATCTGAGTGAACTTTAGTATTGTAGCTAAAAATCCACCCAAATCATTATCCTTCAAGGCCCTACAAATTTCTTTCACTGAGGCTAAATTTTAAAGGAGACTGGAAAGGTGGACCCTCTTGCAGATGGAGACGTGGAGGTAGGTACCCCTTTTATCAAGCTCAAACTACCAATATGTTTTGTGTGCATGTATGCACATGCTCCATTGCACAAGGAGTTGAAGAATGCAGTTCTCACCATCTTCATTGCCCTCATTTGCAGTCAGAAAATCAAATTCACTTAGGACCTCTTCTGTTTCTGCATCCATTTCATCTACTTCTGATGATACTCCTCCCTAGAAAGATGTGTTACAGATTTCAGTGATCTTTTGAGTAGTGGTATAGAGCTAGCAAGGGGAGGACAATGACACAATGTCAGAGAGGAATAATGTGTACAGGTGGACATACTTTAGCACGTGGCCTGCGAATTTCCTGTGTCTCATCCAGGTCCTCCCGTTCTTCATCACTGAGGTTCTCATCATCATCCTCCATAACACCTTCGGTGGCCAAGAAGGCAAAATTGGCCATCACAGCCTCCTCAGCATCAAGAAGCATCCCCTCTGCCAGTGTGGATCCAGTACTGGGCTGTAAGAGCAAATGAAAGAATGAGGACCTCTGCATGTTTGTCAGATCATGGATGAGGAATAAAAACTAAATCCCACCTTCTTGCCTCCCCTTTTTTGTTGGGAATCTGATGCAACTCTCTTGTTGGTACCACTGTTGTTATCCGTCCCATTCACAGCTGCATTCCCTCCCTCATCATTCTCTGATTTGACAGGATTTAGTCCAAGTAGAGAGCGCACCCGTGATGACCGAACATCAATAATAGTATCTGTGTATCCTATCTCTTGTAAATATCTGAAAAATGGATCAAATAATTTTGCAAGGGTTACAACTCGACTTCAGGAGACCAGCATGTGACTGGGTGGATTTGTCTTACTGTCTAAGTAGCTGTCGTCCTTGTCTCCATGAAAACGATGGAGAGGACACAGTGGGAAGGAGCATTTCTCCATCAGAGGAAAGTTCAGCTGGGGGCTCATCCAAGGGCACTTTCATATCCCCTCCCAGTTCCACACCATACTTGAGCTTGTGAAACTTGGCCCTGTAACAGTCAATGTCATTCAAACCAACCGTTCTTTCCATGCTGAAATGTTTCAAATAAATTCCATGTTTCAAATGCAAAGTTTACCTCTCTTGCTTGAGGGCAAATTCCAGCATCTTGATTCTTCTGATGAGGTCATTTTTTAGGTTTTCTTGCCCCTTTCTTTCTCCCTGAAGGAAGGCAATCCTTGCCTAGGTGAAAATAAATTTCACTAATTTTATTTTGGAATTTAAAGAGTAGGAAACATGTCACACGCCCAATGGTTACTGCCTTGGATAACTGTTTTAAAAATTAATTAATCACTTCAAGCACTGCATATCAGTGTCAGGGGCATATGGAAAGGTTTCAGGGATCTACAAAACTATGACCAGATAAATTAAGGGAAAAAGAAGAAGAAAGACAAAAATTGTGCAAATGTCTCACAGACATTTAAGCTCTATGAAGCCAATAAAACCTCACTGGTAATCTTTATTTCATAACTACATCCATATTAACCTCTTGTGACGTTTAATTTGCATGCATCAATCTTGGAAAGCAGTTTCTGCTTAAAATTTTGAAAATTCTTGACGGAAAGGGGCAATTCTATATCTTAAGAGGAAAATCCACCTGTTGAAAGGAAATGCTACACAGTTGTTCAAAGTTGTGGCAGACAGATGGAGGAGGTCGAAATTTAATTCCTAATGGCTTTTACGAGTGCCCACTCCTCACGGTATAAAGTGGGCGTTTTCCTTCTTTGAGAGTCAGCATTTCTCATTAAGAAATGTTGACGACTTGGATCTCGATCTCAATCTCAATCTCGATATGCACATTTAGGTACAAAAGATGTGACCTGCATCAGAAGGTCATGGATATTAAAATTGAAGTGTTCACGAACGAATAAGGCTTTTGTATATGCGCAAGAAAGCAGACGTTGACCTCTGCTGCAAAAGCCAAATTCCGTGACGCTGCCTGAGGTAAGCAGTAGCATATTTTACAGGGAGGAGTGGGGGTGGCCTCCCCTTGGCAGCCATTGGAAGTACTTAGCGCCCCCTTTAAAGGATTTTCACCCTGATAATCTCCGCTCAGCAACACTGCCCCCTTTCCACCCAGGCTCATGAGACAAAATACATCATTGCATGAAAGTAAACCAAAAAAAGAGACATAATAGTACAGAACGATGGTAACCAGACATTTAAATTTGACAACTATAAACGATTGAGAAGGGGCATCATGCAAGTACGCCATCGGTCCGAGGGGGCTTCGCAGCAGGCCAGTGTCAGATCTGATCCAAACCCCAAGATCATAGATCATATTCTTAAGGGCATTGTTGCGTCATGAATACATCACATCCATCACATTTAATTCGTCACATTCAGATTTCATTCAGAGTCTGCACCTTCTCATTTTGTCTTCGTTTCCATTTAGCATAACACTCCGAATGTGGATGGCTAATAGATTTGCAAGTTTTCTGTTATCATTTTCTGTTATCAACACCTCCCGACCCAGAACGAAAAAAAAATAAAATGAAGAAAAATAATAATTCAAGAGAAGTCATCTTCTAGAATGTAGCTCTTGTTTTGATAAACGTACAGACTGAGAATTACAGTGCTTTTGCCGACAGTTCACCTCAAACTTACATCCTTTTATTCTCCTTAACGAATCGGATCGGATCGGAAATGAATTCCTCCTCCCTTGCATCTCAAGGCGGATAGGATCGGACTCGAAACCGCCAAAACGACAATTCGACTCATCTCTAGCCCGCAGGTAAAATAATGTTGAGAAACACAGCTGTATAGATGCATACTCAAGCAGATCTCGCTTTACAAATGCAACCTTATGAAGATTTTATCGACCCTCATGAAGTGAAAGACGTGGTGCTGCAAGAATCCTATTCTCGCAAAGCAACTTTCTTTTTCTCCCAAAGGGAGCAAGTAAAAGGGAAGGGGGGACTCTTCCTGGCAGAAACATGGCGCCAGAGTCCCTTTCCCCTCTCAGTCCCTCTTCTCTGGTCAGAAAAAAAGGGAAAGTAATTCGGGCTCACGGTCAAGGATAGGCTCACTTCACTCTCACTTTCCCTTTCACCGTTTCCTCCTTCTCTTCCTGGGAGAAACAGGGGAACTGGCTCAGTGAAAGCTCCCACTCTCTTTCGACCCCATCTTCGAATTTCATTTCATAAGCTCTTTCACCATTTCGACACCTCTACATAGGATTATCCTCATAAGATTTCGGCCCACAACATAAATTCATCTTCTTCGGATAGAATTCACACAACTCGAACATTTTAAACGGCATTTTTAAGAGATCCTTTTCCCCATATAATCGGATATCAAGTTTGTGAAGTCCTGACAAGGAAGACAACATTTTGCGAACATGAAATAGGCACGTGAAAACGTGACCAGGAACACGCAGAGAAGGGGCAAGGCCCGACTTCCCGTTTACGTCCACGTCAGAGTGAGTGACGCAAGAATGACGTATTCAAGGGCAACGCACGACGAGAGTCGGGCGAGTCCACCGCAAGGCGAGGGGTGTCCCGGTGCGAGAAGAACCAAAGGGAAAGAGCGAGTGGAGAGACAACGACCTTGCATCTGACTCTCGCTTTCAGTGAAAGAACCGTACGTGGGATGGGGAAGCTCCCCCTTCCCTACGAAGCGGGCCGCTAACGGTGGCAACCGTTACTCTGTCCATGGCTCACTTTCCCCCTCGCATATCAAGGGCAAGGCAATGAGAAAAAAGGAATCCCGGTCACCCGCGCACGGAGTCCGTTAGCGGGGTCGAATCGAGGACACCTCTCTTCGGGTGGACTAGTAAACCATGACATTGAACTACAAAGATACTTGGTCCCAATTGGGCCACCTAATGCCACGGAAAAGTGACCTTACACCCAAGGCCAGGGAGATAACGCGATCAAACGAAACATGATATCACTTAACTCGAGGTCGCGCAAAGTTTGCACAAGCCCCCATTAAGTTCACGCAGCCTTGCGCCTCACTCCACAATGCAGGGCAATAAATGCGTTAATTTTGTCGGCTGCTAATTTTTGTATGCAAAGTATGTCGCAATACGCCATCAAATATGCATTTCACGATTGGATTTATCGAGAGTGCTGGCCGATGAATGAAATCGCAAAATAGAGCAATCAAAGTCATTGCGTTTAATAATTTATGTGTTTCAGTCCTTAACGGTTTCTATACGTATCAACAACAACACATAAATAGGTTTGCGGAATCGAAGTTGAGCTGCATGCGAAGAGGGGGAGGGGCCATTGAATCAGCTGGCATGAGAGTCGACGAACTCATCCACCGTCCACCCCTCGCACACTACATGGTATCGTCCACGTGCTACCAGCTGAGAGCGGGGAGGAGAGGGCCCGGGCGAGTTCACTCCTCGTCGAGGGAAGGACAGTGGCACATCAGCATCCCGTGGATCAAGGACGACGGCAGGTCAAGTCAATGCCACAGCGGCATCCCCCTCCCCCTTGCATCTGCCTATGCCAGCACAGAAGCGTCCCGATACAGGGGGAGCGATGACCTTGCTCGGCAACAAAGACTCAAACAACATCGGATTTCAGGGGCAATTCCTTGACATAAGTTACATCCAAGGTCTCCTTCAAAAGTCTTTCCGGCCATTGCACTCCCGGCTCAATCGATTGAGAGCGTCCCGTTACTGGCGGGGGGAGGGCTTTCGTTGGATATATTTCTACTTTCCCCCACTAGGAATGCGAATGAGGACACATCGAAATCCAGAGCTCTACATTCGTAATGACGGGAGACGAAGGCGATGCGAAGTAGGGCAGGTGTCCCCCATATCGAGAGAGAAAGTGTGTCCATGGGTCACTTTCGCTTTCAAAAAGGAGGCCGGGGATGGCTGTGGAAGTATATTGGGGCATGGGACGGGGGAACAACCCAGTTGCTCCAGCTTCAGTCACTCACTCAGCTGCATTTGACCCGAATGCCTCTTCATTTGAGTTCATCCATCCCACTTTCACTTTCGATGATCTCTGCCTCTCACTTTCCTCTCGCTTTCAACATAGAGACCTCTCTGTTCACTCGTTTCACAACTTTCTTCTGCCTAGCTAGTCCCCATTCTCCATCGAAAGTGCACTGGTGAATTGTCTCTTCAAATCTTCAGAACCATTCACTTTTACTTTACCATATTCGGGAAGTTCCAACTAGTATCCGATGATAACGCCTTCATTGTGCCATGAAATGACATTCTGGTTAGAAATTCCATTTCACACGAAGAAATACGAACAGGATTCTGCAACTGGAACTTCAAATTAGAACAAACGAGTTTTCTTTCTATGCCTCCTCTACAGGCGAATGGCTTCACTTTGAATCGCGAGAAAAATACGCTGGCATTTTCCACTGTCCGGCATAATCCAAGAGTATTTAAACCGGTATTTCTTACATCACGATTGCCATAAAATATTTTAACTGCGGTTCTTTATTAAGTGGGGAGCGGTGTCGAATTTGGCCAATAGTTGTCGTAGACTCCGAAACTTTCTTGTTTCTTTTGAACCAATATTCAGATCGTAAAATTTTAAGCTGAAGCAGGGAAGTGGGATCCACTTTAGTGCACTATATGAGCAAAAGAAAGACGGTCGAGGAACGTCTTAAGAATCATCACGTTGGTCATTTTTCAGTTAATTGTGAGAGGCATAAGAGAGGCACACCAAAAGGGACAAGCTCCTATTTACAAAGGAGGGGGGGGAGAGAGAGGGAGCTCTACACACTGCGCTTACTAGGACCAGCGAGCGACATCTATGCTCTAACACAGGAGGTAGAGGATACTTCATGAATCCTCACGGTGGAAGGCGGAAATTAGCATCCCACTAGTTCTCATAAGGGATGATAGTGCGCATGCGAACCTTCCATCGCAGTTAATACCAGGCTTACTCTGAGAATTATCGAGCATTGATAAGTAATCACCTTTGGGAAATTGCATTCTTGTCCCACAGCGACAACAGTGTATAATCAATTCTGATACGGAATGTTACGGAAGTTAAGCCTCTATTTTTTTTATCGATAATTCCTCAATATAAGAATTGGTGTATCAGCGACTTTTCAAGAGGAGACACTAAGGATCCCTCCCGCTACGCAGTTGAAGTAGCCCACTAAAGACAAATTTCACCATGACTTCCCATACGACGAAAGAACTAATATGTTCTAGGAGAGGCTGCAAATGTCGATGGAGCGACCTCGGGGCATCGAAC